CGCGAGGAGCCAGCCACAGGCCCGTTCATCTGCTCATAGAATTTTCTTTCTGCATCGTCATATTTGAACTTGTCAAACCAGATCTTCTCGTGCACTAGGAAGTTTGTAGCCATTTTCCTGACCTGCCAAGGACGCCGCGACCAAGGAGGAGGGCTCGTGGCGCGGGACGGCTGGGGAAAGGACTGAAATTCCCTTTCTTGACCAACTCATTTCGCATTACCACCTGGGATAAATCCTACCCTTCAGCCAGCCTAGCCTACTCTGACCATGCCGTGAACCTCCTTTTCTTTGCTAATCTGCCCCTTTCGCCCCTCTTCCACTCTCTACCAATCAAAATATGTCAAGGCCCAGCTCAAAGGCCACCCTCTCTCCTCCATGAGACTTTCAATTATTAACTGTCACTCCCATGCTCCCAAAGGCCGTAGCTGGAAGCTCTGTTTCACTCATACTTCACTTGGCCTCATGCCAGTTTGCTGTTTGTCTGTTTTCCCCATTAGACTGCAAACTGCTTGAGATCAGGGCCTGTGTCTTATTTGTTTCTGTACGCCCGCGGTGTCTCAGCCCTTAGCAGTGCTCAGAAAAGCCAGGCCGAACCTCCTGTATTCATCTTTCTGCGAAAGAAGGGGCAGGAAGCTAATGCGAACCCACTGCACGCCAGGCTTCAATTTACTCCACTTTCTTCAAGTTGGGAATGGGTGGAGGAGGGTGTGGGATTGAAGGGAAAACCAAGCCCCAGGGAGGAGGGGGCTGGGCCCACTTACAGGCGCTCCCTTTCACGGATGGCCAGGTGTAGCTCTTCCTGCCGCTCCTCCTTCTCACCCTGAGCAGAGTCCCCCTGCAGCTGAAGCTCCACATTTGTCCTCCGCAGCCGCCACGCCTCCTGCTCCAGCACCTCCAGCTGCTGCCGCAGCTCCTCCCTGGCCTTCTGCAGGAGCTCTCGCTCCCTGGAACAAGGAGACCACAGATGAGCAGAAACCTTGGAGCCTCAAATCCTTCCTGGAAGCAGACATCACAGGATCAAAGGAGAGAGGTGTCTGTTTCCTTTAAAAATCTCATCTTCCCTTTAGAGCAGGAAACTGCTTTGTTGTTGTTGTTGTTGCTGTTGTTTTTTAATCATCAAAAAGACCCCAAAGTGAGTGAGCAGGAATAAGCAGAACACAAAGCAAGATAGCCCTGGGTGTCAGGGACAGCAGGGTTAGGCAACGAGAAACGTGCAGGGAGTGGGTAAATGGCTGGATGAGGACTGAGCCGGGGAGGAGGTGGGGGGGATGAACAGCCCGCTGCTCACTTGCTGAGAGACTCCACCTCTCCCTGGAGGTCCACGGTCTGCCCTGCCAGAGTGTCACGCTCCCCGGTGAGCTTCTGCAGCCGCTGTCTCAAGGCCTCGCCCTCCTCCTCCCACTGATTATGCTGCTGCCGCAAGGAGCTCACAGCTTCCTGACAGCCCAAAAGCTGCTGCCTCAGGTCCTGTGGAGGGAGAGTGACAGAAGTGAGATGGTGAGCAAGAGGGCAGAGTGAAGGAGGAGTGTCAGAAGCCTGAGAGTGGGGCTGGGCGACGGGGCTGAGGGCTGGTACAAGGGTGAGCTAAGAATAGAGATGTGGCCAGTCGAGAAGACAGAGGATCAGAGATTACTGGACTTCTGTGGTGCCTGGAGTCTCAGGGTCCCTCATCTTCAGATGTGCGGTAAGGGGCCGTCACGGAGATGGTTAAGTGTGGCTGGGACCCTCAGAGTCGGGGACACTTACCTATGGTCTCCCAGGGCTCTGGTTGCCTATCTTTGTGTAGTGCTATACGAAGATGGCATGCAAAGTGAAGCGTATCACTGGGCACACAAAGTGTGCCCATTAGCCACAAGCACAACTGGGCAGACATGGAGATTCTAATGAGCACTTCAGGAGTGTTGACCAAACACCTCATAACTGGTCAACATAGTGAAAGGGGCAGTCCAGGAGAGGAGGGTACCTGGGGCACAGATCAGTTCAGACACCCACACCCGTGGCTGAGGAGGAATGGTGGGGTCCTCACCTGCACAGCCTGGCGTCTTCGAGTCACCACTGAACGCACCAGAGTAAGGGTCTTGTCTGGGTCCTGGGAATCAAACTGCGAGGAGAAGCCACGAGCGTCCAACTCCAAGGAGCAATCTTGACCACAGCCTTGGGCCATATTGTCCCGTTCTTCCACCATGACCTGAAACCCAATACAGCAGAGTCGCTACCCTACTGACCAAGGCCTAGAGTCCACACGGAAGACTAACGCTACATCCTGGACAAACGTGACGTTTTCCTTCTCACATCCTCTCCCTTGCGGGTGGGAGGAGGGTATCTGAGAGCAAAAAGGATTGCGTCCTCCAACTCCTCACCTTTGGTCACCCAAACCTAGGACTAGCAACAAGGCTAGAGCACTCTCTGAGATAATAATAAATGAAGAAATGAAGAAAGGAGAGGATACTGACGTAACAGAGACCAGAATCCAGCCACTGGCCTGAGACTTGCAGGTGGCAATAAGGAAGAGGGCCTGTTCCAGCAGGTGGGGCCAGCATGTGAATGCTTAGCTATCCCTTAGGGTGCCAGTCTTCAGACACACTCAGAGAACTCATTCCTCAAAGACCCTAAGCCCAAACGTCTCAGAGTGTGGAAATCTAGGCACAACTAAGAGGACATTGAGGCCTGCAGAGGCATAAGCCATGACCCGGTTTCCACAAACAGAAGGCTTACCAGTACCTGGGTTATATCCATGATCACCTGCTGTAAAGACAGCTTCTCCTCTTGGGCATTCCTGCTGAGAGATGACTCGCGTTCCATTAATTCTGCATGATTTGCCTCCTGAACAGGGAACAAGATAGAGCTGTGAGCCAAACTCGCGGAAGTATCTACCGTTCCAGGCCCCAAATCAACCGGAATCTCATTCTGTCTCTTTGGTCAACCCTACTTTTTCCAACCACACGTGAATGCTACTGTTGTCCCAGGACTCTGAGGACAGTGTGATGTGGTGAGTAAGAGCTCAGAGTAAGTGAATCAGAGCTCCAAAGTGGATTGCCTAGAATGGAGTTCTTACTCTATCACGTCCTAGCTTAGCAACCTTAGGCAACTGCTTCTTTGAGCTTCTTTTCTCTTAAAAAAAAGGAGTAATTAGGGGCGCCTGGGTGGCTCAGTCGTTAAGCGTCTGCCTTCGGCTCAGGTTCCTGGGATCGAGCCCCGCGTCAGGCTCCCTGCTCAGCAGGGAGTCTGCTTCTCCCTCTCCCATTCCCCCTGCTTGTATTTCCTCTCTCGCTGTGTCTCTCTCTGTCAAATAAATAAAATCTTAAAAAAAAAAAGGAGTAATTAACAGCATCTACTTCACAGGTTTGTGTTGAGGCTTAAATGAAAAAGATGCTTGTAAATTACTGAACACAGTGCCTGGCACAAAGAAACTAATCAATGTCAGCTATCATAGGAGAGAGGATGGCAGTTGTCTCTGAACAGCAAATTAATGCTGGAGACCTAAGGCTAGACCAGAGAAACCCCTAGCCCTGGAGCTGGCAATGAACCTGAAGAGTCAAGATGTCCTCAGTTCCTTCTGATCATATTGTTAGTGAAAGCCTGAAGACACAGACCTGCAGCAATGTTTTCTTTGGCCTGCACAAAACTTGAATCGACATTTATAAATTGAGAGATTTCAAGAGATTTTATGAATTGAGAAATGCTGACTTTCTGGCTTTCCTCAAAAAGTTAACAGATGGGTCACACCAGCCCCCATTCCTACACAGCAATAATTTCCTGAGGTTGAACAGTGGGTGCCTCCTTCAGAGGAGACATGTATTTTTTGGGGTCCCGTGGTCCCTACGACACCTCATCGTTTCCTTAATATTGAGATCAAGTGTCCTCTACTGTACTCAAAACTAACTATGACAGTGCTGGACAACCAGAATCCTTACAACTGAACCCACTGCACTCTTTGGCATTATCTGGGCACCGTGGACATTTGAATTTGCAAATTTCTGACCAAAAGGAACCAAAAAGGTATCAATAACTCTGAGTCCCCACTGATCCCGGCTTGGATAAGAAGACTAGAGGTTTGCATGTAGATGGTCATTCAGGATCTGCCTAAGGAGAGAGATCTGAAAATTCTTAGAAACGAAAGGAAATGTGGAATCAAGTCAGAGGTTTTAACTAGCCCAACCTTACAGAGTCCCTTTGGTAACATCTCTGGCAGATGAGAAGCCAGGGACACAAACCTCACCCTTCCATAGGACAGACTGCTCAGCTACTGAGCCGCTCTCGTTGCTAGACAAACTCTACCAGCCCGCAGCTTCTGGTCACCAACACTGCCTGTGCTGGCTGAACAACGTTAACTAAGCCAACTCTTTCCCCTGCTGTCAGTCCTGCAGATCTGTGACGGCAGCCATTATGTCCTCCTCAAGCCCTTTTCTCTCCAGGCTGACCGTCGCCATACTCCTCAGTTGTTTCCCATATGACTAGGTTTTGAATCTCTCACACATCCCCATCCTTTGCCAGTGTGCCTCATAACGCGTGGCCCACTCTCTCTGATGAGGACACACTGCACGCGCACGCCATGGTAGTTTCCCCAGGAATACAGTAGGGACGGTACACAGTATTTACTGATGAATGAATAAATGAATGAGTTAATTAATTTTTAGATTCAGCCAACATTTATTTTTTTTGCTTTTATTCAAGGAATATTTAACTGGTATCCTGCATCATCTGTCCATAAAGGACAAGGAACCCATAGGCCCACTCCCAACTCCTTTCCAGAACAAAGGGTCATGTACCAGGATCTCCACTGTCTCTCTCAGAGCCTCTAACATCTTCTCATAATCTTTATTTTGCTTCTGAGCCTGGGTCAGCAGAGCAGAGAGCTCGGTCACCCTGAAGAGAAGAGCACAACACTGTCATGTGGGCGGCCCACTGAGATGGACAGAGCTACTACGCAGCACACCCCAGCCCCAACAGACACTCCCACTGCAGCCCCCCAGAGACCCCTGGGCACCCCCAGCCCCTGCACTCCCTGAATACCACATGATGCTATAGCCTTGAACTGGGGGCAAGGGGAGGAGTCAAAAGCCACTCAGACACATGCAGGGATTTACCACATCTCAAGGCTGGAACTCGTGTTTGGGGGCCCGAGAGCTGAAGGAAAGCCCTGGACCAGGCCCTTCCAGGCCCCGCTTGATCTTGAAGTCAAGCACCCTGAAGCCAATAAGAATACCAGAGTTGCCAAATGGGACAGTCCCAACGTCCCTCCAGCCCAAGGGTCTCTGATGAGGAACATGGAGGGGCAATTTGGGGGAGATTATGGTCAACCTCTGTGATATTGACTTCAAAGTTCAGGGAAATCGGGGCGCCTGGGTGGCTCAGTCGTTAAGTGTCTGCCTTCGGCTCAGGTCATGATCGCAGGGTCCTGGGATCGAGCCCCGCATCGGGCTCCCTGCTCTGCGGGAAGCCTGCTTCTCCCTCTCCCACTCCCCCTGCTTGTGTTCCCTCTCTCGCTGTGTCTCTCTGTCAAATAAATAAATAAAAATCTTTAAAAAAAAAAAAAGTTCAGGGAAATCATCATACAACCGTCACCTAATGCTATATCCTGGAGCTCAGTGCCTGGTATTATATGGGTAGCTAAATAAATATTTCTTTTTTAAGATTTTTTTTAAAGACTTTATTTATTTATTTGACAGAGAGAGACACAGCAAGAGAGGGAACACAAGTGGGGAAGAGGGAGAAGCAGGCTTTCCACTGAGCAGGGAGCCCGATGCGGGGCTCGATCCCAGGACCCTGGGATCATGACCTGAGCCGAAGGCAGACGCTAACGACTGAGCCACCCAGGCGCCCCTAAGATTTTTTTTTTTAAGTAATCTCTACACCCAGCGTGGGGCTCAAACACATGACCCCAAGATCCAGAGGTGCATGCTCTCCCGAGCCAGCCAGGGCCCCTAAACAAATATTTCTTGAACGAATGTTATTCAGGAGTTAAAATTCTTTTTTTTTTTTTTTCAAAGTCTTAATAATTTTATTCTGTACCATCTCTAAGAGCCTTCATCACTGTATGGCCACTCATTTAATCATTGTAGCTTTCAACAAACATTCATTGAATGTTACTATACGGCAGATGAAGCGCAAAGCACTTACTAAGTGCTTACTAAGCCATGGTCTCTGACCTTCTGTTCCCAGTGCCCTCCCAACCCAAACCAAAACAAACTGCTATTTACATACACCACCAATAGGTGGTGACACAACCCTAGCCCAAGCCCGTCCAGAAATTCAAGTGGGGCTCTTTGCTTAGGTCCCTGCCCTTCTTACTATTATTATTAAAAAATCTATTTTGTCATAATCCAAAAAAAAAAAAAAGAACCTAATCAAAAATAAGAAGCTAAATAATCAGAGAAAAACCGTGAGATTAATGCTGTAGCAAGCAGGTCAAAAGACTACACCAGGGCACAGAAATTTAACAGGCTACTGAGGTCAGAGAAGGCTTCTCAGAACCATGCCTTAAAGGATAAGGTGGAGGCAGAAGGGAGGGAAGCGTTCCAGCCTAAGGTCAGCATGTACCAGGGCAGGGAAGCATGGAAGAGCTTGGCTGTTCTGTGAATGGGAGTAGTTTGGTGTTGACAGACGAAAGTCACAGCTAGCTGCATAAATCAACAGGAGAGAAACTGAGCTGCAAGATAGTCTGAGGGCAGAGGGCAGTGACATGGCCCCATGCAGCACTGGGTTCCAAGCCAGACTCCGTCTGGCATCTCTCCTTCCCCTCTGATGGGAGGAACGCTCTTCACAACCCCCGACCCGCACCAGCTCTATCTCCCTATGAGAGTCAACACCCTCAGCAACCCCTTCCCAGGACCCCAGTCCATCTCACCGATCCTGCAGCTCAGCCTTCTCCAGATCGCCCTGACTCTTCAGCTGTATTAACTCCTGGCTCCTTTCATGGGCTTCCTTCTCCAGCTCCTGGGTCTTGGTTAGTAGAAGCAGCAGCTGGGTTGGCTCACTCCCATCCAGTCTCCCAGATCCATCAGATTCGCGAGACTGGGCGCCCACAGTCAAGCGCAGACAACAGGTCAACAGGGACCCTGAAAGCCTCACATGCTCAGCCTTGAGCTCCGTCAGGTCTCTGAGTACAAGCAAGGAAAGAGCGGACTCCAGTGGGGATGGGGGAAGGGAGCATGGAGATCAGGCCCAGTGAAGCCTGAGAAGCAGGTCTGCGGAAAATCATCTGAATCCAACAACATCATCCCTCCCCACCCACTCCTCCACCCCCCCTACCCCTGTCCCCTGCTTCCACAGCAGCCCCCTGTCCTAAGTCTAGAATCGGTGGGGGCAAACCTCCCTTCTTATCCCCACACTAACCTGTCAGTAGCTGACTTCATTTCCAGGAAGTGACGTCGGAAGGTCACCACCTCCCGCCACAGACCAAGAAGGCGACCGTGCTCCCCTTTCAGGTAGCCCTTGAAGAACTGTGTATTCAGAAACCCAGGTCATATCGAAGGGCAGAGGGCTGTCTTTTGCCAGCACAGGAGTCCTGGATTCCTCCTGCCTACTCGGGGGAGGGCAGGAGGGACTTACAGGAGATAGCTTATGAACAGGTGTCTGTATTCAGGTCACACTGAAGCATTTAATAAAGCTAGCAGTGGTAGTCAAGAGGTCAAAGGGTTTGAGGGCGCCTGGGTGGCTCAGTTGGTTAAGCGACTGCCTTCGGCTCAGGTCATGATCCTGGAGTCCCGGGATCGAGTCCCACATCGGGCTCCCTGCTCGGCAGGGAGTCTGCTTCTGCTTCTGACCCTCCTCCCTCTCATGCTCTCTGTCTCTCATTCTCTCTCTCGCAAATAAATAAAAAATTAAAAAAAAAAAAAAAGAGGTCAAAGGGTTTGAGATGGCATATGACCCTCCTCCGAGCTGATTAGAAAAAGATAAACAGCAGCTGCTACCGCCATTATTACCACAGACTTACAGTGAGGACTAGCATAGTACCTGGCACCCAGCAAAGGCTCAGGAAACATTCGTTTCCTTGCACTGGGATCTGAAAATTCCCCAGGGTCTGCATCCGGTCTTTCTTCCCCATTCGGTTTCAACAGCTACCTCCTTAGCATCTAGATATGTAGACCTCCAGAAGAGGGGAGTCAGTAAGCTTTCAGATCCTTCTAGAACTGAAGCTAGTCCCTCAGGCAGGAACAGAGCTGCTCTGAGTGTCATGCCACCTGCCAGCAAAACCTCGACAAGGCAGGTAAGGACAGAAGTCAGCCGAGAGCCGAAGCAGGGCAAAGCCACCAGCAGGAGCAGGGAGGAGGGCCGGGGACCCTAGCAACAGATCAGCTTCCATCCAGGTCCTGAAGGTACCCTTTTCCAGCGCGGACCAGGCCCCAGAGCGCAAGCCCTCCTGTTCCTCCTACCTCCTGCTCCATCTGCCACTGGCTCTCCTTCCTCATTAGCTCGTCCCGGGCTCGGCTCCAGTCCACTGTCAGTTTTTCCACATCTTCCCGAAGTGCTTTATTCACCATGTCAGCTTTTTGCATGTGCAGTCGAAGCTGGGTGTTCACCTCTGCTAGACTCTCACACCTGCACTGGGGAGGGGCAGGAGCAAGTGCAAAATAAAGGCTTAATCCAACCCTTGGACCTCTCGGAGTAAGATGACAAACACTGGAATTTTCCATTGCCAGGAATTGGAGGGCTAAGGCTGAGGTCTGTGGTTTGAGCCCTGTTAGCGCTCAGGGCGTAGGTGCTCCCTCCGCCTTCTCGACCCACGGGCCACCAGAATCGCCCCCGCCAGAGAACTTGGGGTTGATCACCTCTGTTGCTCCTCCTCTAATCGGACCAGCAGCTGCTCCAGGTTCGGCTCCTCCACGCTTTCCCACCTCTGAGGGGTTGGTCCCTTAGCCAGACAGAAACAAGCCGTATTTACCTCCGAGGAGAATACCATTCAGAGCAATTCCCTGATGCCCCCTTCTGCAGCCACCCGCTATCTTTTTATTCCTCCTCTGCTGTGTTAGCAATATGCCTCTTTTCTCAATCACTCCATCCTGAAGGTAAATCCACTGCATCCCCTTCTCCAAAAGTGGACCAGTGACGTCTCCTGAAAGATGGCGCTGGGTAGTGAAAAGAGCTTTCAACCCAAGAAGCGTAAGATAGAGCTTTCACTAACGGCCTTGAGTTCTACTATCCCACATTTTGGACCTCGGGAAGTTATTCAACTTCTCTGAGCCACACAGTCTTCACTACAAAATGAAGGCGACACCGTTCCTTTCAGAAAGTTGCCTCATAGATTGAGTGATGTCATTATATACGACTGCCTAACGGTGCCTGGCCTACACAGAATGGTGCTCAGTAAGTTTTGGTTCTTCCCTTCCTCTGAGAGAACTTTTCTGAGGGTAACGTGAGAAGGTGCAGAGAGGGAGCTGGAACAAAGGCAATGGGTTTTTCAAAGCCAGTTCTACCCAGCCAACGGCACAAATAAATCCTCTGCCACAGACATGTTTAGGCCTGCTAAGGCCCACATCTAAGACAGATAAACAGTGACACCTTCTGGAGGAAAAATGCATTTCTTCCCTCTGATTCCACACCCTTTCCAGTCTGGTTAAATCTCCTGAAGCTGCATTTTGTCCTCAGAGAGCCAAGGGCTGGCACCTTGACAGGCCTGGAATAGCCAATCCAATGAAAGTATCTGTGTGATAAAGCTCCCAGGGGCTGAAGAGAGAGAGAGAGGCTTCCACCAAACGCGGCCTTATCATACCCCAACCTCCCTCAGTCAGCAAACAAGGCCTTCCTTACAGGTATAGTCCCTGAGGACTCCGGGGAACACAAAACAGCCTCCCTCACCCCGGTGGCTTCCAGCTGCTTCTCCAGCTCTTGGCACCAGGTCCGGTACTGCAACACCTGAAGCCAACAGAGCAGGGTGTGGGTGACGGTCATGGCTGGTACACACAGCCCAAACCAAACGCCCGGGAGGATCGGGGGCGGACCTGCTGTGAAGAGTCTGGGTGATAACAGTGGGGTAAGGCCATAACATCTTGTCGTTTCGATTTGGTCGGTTAATAATACTCTCTCTATGCCTGTGGTATTGGAGAGGTAAGATTAGAGGCTTTGGAACCAGAAAACACAGGGCCAGGTCCTAGCTGTAGCCGAGGAGAGCAAACACAGACAGCTCATTTAGCCCTCGTGACCGCCATCTTTAAAAGCAACAGGACAGATCTCTCATGGAGTAGTTGTGAGCATCACAGGAGGGGCTGTTTAGGGGCATTCCCACCACAGGGCTCTGTCTCCTGGAACCCTTATCCCCCTCAGCACCTAGCGCTCGGCCGTGTTCTCTTTGCCTCCCTGCAAAGGCCGCTGCCTCACCTTGGCCTGCAGCTTCCTCACGAGGCTTGCTTGCCTCTGCTGGGCCTCCTGGGAGCTCTTCAGCTTCCGCCAGGAGGCTGCTTGGTTCTCCGCCATCTGTTGCTGCAGCGCTAGTACTTGCTCCTCCAGCACCAGCTGCAGCGCGTGGGGCTTCATACTGTTCACCCCAGGGCCTCCCGTCTCCATGGGAGCACCAGACAGGTAAGCCCACAGGCCCCTATCCAGCCAGAGGCTGCTCACTCCCAGTAAGGTCTCTAATCATTGCTGTGCCACTTGGACCTCCTCTTGAGCTGGGGACCAAAGCACACAGAAGAGTTGAAAGGAATGTGTGAGTGATTCAAATTTACTCATCAAATACTCACTAGGTCTCACAAAGCTGGGTTGGGCAAAGTAAGTGGGTTCCTCTACGACAGGACCCATCAGAGCCTTTAAAATACTAACATGGGGCGCCTGGGTGGCTCAGTTGGTTAAGCGACTGCCTTCGGCTCAGGTCATGATCCTGGAGTCCCGGGATCGAGTCCCGCATCGGGCT